CGCCACAGTGTGCTCACAGCTTCAGTCTAGGAGAGCCGCACACAGACAATTAGACACGACGAATCGCGGGAGGTTTCGATTGTGTGCAGTTTTGTTCCCGTCTACCCGGGGATCTTTGCAGCTGTTTAACAGCAGAACACCGCAACATGGTAAATGAACATCACAATGGCGTCCTCAAATAATATTTGCATGCCTCAAACATTGCATTCACCTTTAGTGGAAGAACAGCACTGCACATTCCTGTGCTCCCTTGTGTCAGTTTTTAAAATGGTTCTTAACTCCTCTTCTGATATACTGTATTTTTCAGTGATTTCAGAGAGGATGTGAAAAGGGGAATTGTACAAATGAAAAGGATATTTTTGTTTTCATGTTTAGTATTTATTTTGGTAAAATGAGTATTTTGTTAAATTGTTTTGTTAAATTAAGGGAAAAAAAAGACAACTACTGTTTAACAAAGTTAAAGTAAAAATTGTCTTATTTCCCTAAAAGGGCTATTTCTATTATTAAGCAGGCACAACTTAACAAAATAAAAGAGTTCCTGTGCCTCAACACAATACCTCTCATTATTTGCTGTGTACTGGCAAAGTGAATAATTGTTATTTTCATGCACCCCATTATTGGTTGGTTGTGAGGAGTGTTGATTTGTATAAGCTTGGCTTAACCATACTAAATGGGCATATAGCCCTGCTCCCCATGACCGCCGTGCATGGGACCGGACCTTGGTCTTATTAAAAAAAAAAAAAAAGTGGACCTACAGCATTTCTAGTTGAGGACCACTGGTCTAGCGTGATTTGAATGCTAGCTGTATGTTTACATGACCAAGAATCTCAAAGTCTGAGGATAACAGAACAAAAAAAATGACTGTATTCAAAAAAGTGATGGACTTCAGAGTGACTATCGTGCCACTGTCAAAGTTAACATTTTTAATCTCATCAGACAGTACCATGAACTGAGGCATGGACCAGTTGAAATAAAGCTAACCATTAGTATTCCATCTAGTATCCACTTGAAGTTCAAGAAAACTCGACAGAGCCCCAGCGTAGAAAGCCCTTCTCTGGTTTATTCAAAGCTGGCATGTCCCTCTCCTTCATGTTCCTCACACGTGGAACTCGACACTTTCTCCTTCAGTGTCAAGAATTTCACACAATTAACAAATCAGGGTTTACTCTAGCGACACAGTCGTCGACTGGTTAGGGCATCGGCCTCACAGTGCAGAGGTGCAGGGTTCGATTGCTGCTCTTCCTGTGTGGAGTTTGCAAGTTCTCCCAGTGCCTGCGTGGATTTCCTCCGGGTACTCGGGTTTCCTCCCGCATTCCAGAAACATGCATGTCAGGTTAATGGAACACTCCAAATTGTCCCCTTAGATCTGAGCATGAGCGCTAGGGTGGTCCATTTTGGAAAAGTTTGTCGGATTCGTCGGGCCGGGTCGGAAATCTTGTCGATACTATGACACAAGGATGTGTGCAAAATTTTATTCCGATCGGATAATTTTATCCCGTCCCGCAGAGCGACCAAAGTTTCCCCTATGGAAAGAATGTTACGGGGCTGAATGGTAGTACGGTTTCTCCCGTACAGTAAGGATTTTGTTTTGCTCAGTTCGCACTTGCAATAATTCAAAGACGGAAGACAGGAACGCATGTATTGCAAAAAAGGCAACCGTGGTGATCCTGCAACACTGGTGAGATTGTTGGTCCATGTTAACTGGTCCATCTGTCTATCTGTACATCTGTCTACATCGCGCGACTGTCTGGAAGTGATCCGATCCGTTTTGCATTTTTTTCAGGCCGGGAGTGGTGC